GTTTATTGGAAAATTAGAACTCCACATTTATATTGTTAACTAAAAACTCAAGCATTCTCACTTTGATATTTGTCGTGATTTTCAAAAAGATAGTTTTAACTGTATATTTATATCGTCGTTCGCCTTTCTTGGAAAAGAAAGTTTTCATATTCAGAGAACAAAGGTGTTCAAAATTGATCTGAGGATCGCTTGAATTCTTCCAAATCCACATATCATTAGTTCCACCGTGAAGTACACGGTGTCACAGATCTATTTCCTTTCTATAACGTCGACAGACAGACTGGGGAGGGTTGGTGTTCTATACCTTAACTAGAACAAAGAAGTGGCTAAAATACAGAGGAATACCTTAATTAATAAAAGGCGCTATGTATCCCACAAAACACTGGAGGCGAAACTTGATGTTTTTGGAAACATAATGGTTTCTTTCACTGTTGATATTTTATACAGTCATATTATATCTCAATTAACTTTTACTTTTACTATTAAAACGTTAACAATTACAAGGAAAGAGATGGGTTTTCCGCAATGTGTCGTGTTGTCCTATAAGGAATACGGCGCCATGTCCACTTACATTTACCGGTGATACATGGACGTTTTGGTATCACATGTAGTAGCTGTGAAACAGAGGAAGCGTGTGCTCTGATACACATCCGTAGGTAAGTACTATCAATTTTGGAAAACCAAATCGTTGTCACTGAAGAAAAAATACGTGGAAAGTGTCTGAGTTTTTATAATAATGATGAACCGTTGTAATAGCCTTCATCTGAAAAATTTCCAAATTCAACAAGACCCCTAAAAACACGATATAGTCACCCGTATTATATAACAACTACGATCAATCTTGTTTGAAGATACATAATTAAAAACCCATTTTCGATACGTGGTAGTGATGCATTAAAATTGTATAACATGTTATTAAAATAGTACATAGCCAGGTGAGCTTGGTGAGAAATGAGAAATAGAGGCTAATAAGTTCACAAAAAGTTCAGCAGCATTATAACATGTCATCCATTTGTGTACCTGAAGTTTACACATAATCTACAGGTTATCCACAGGTACTAGCCTCGTCTGTCAAAACACCTATACTAAAATCTGTAAGACTAATCCTCACGGGGTTTTTGTTTCTCGTTTACTAGCTGTGGAGATGCGAAAATCCATCATAAAGAGTCTCGGAAAATAAAAGCAGTTTATAAATGTCAAAACGATTACCGAGTAATCTATATTGCTAATTGATCATTATGCGATGTGTCATCATTTTTAGCATTAAGTGTGGTACATAAATGAACTCGACATGTTATTTAACATTTAAAATTAGAAGTATTACAGCTTTTTGCAAAATTAGATTTCCTACATTCTATCAAAAATATATGATTTATTAGATTTTCTAACTGGATGGCAAACATAAGAGACGAGAGGATTTAATACTCTATTTGCTAGATGGATGGCAAACATAAGAGACGAGAGGATTTAATACTATTATATATTTGCTAACTGGATGGCAAACATAAGAGAGGAGAGGACTTAATACTATATTTGCTAACTGAATGGCAAACATAAGAGACGAGAGGACTTGATAATATATTTGCTAACTGGATGGCAAACATAAGAGACGAGAGGACTTAATACTATATTTGCTAAATGGATGGCAAACATAAGAGACGAGAGGACTTGATAATATATTTGCTAACTGGATGGCAAACCTAAGAGACGAGAGGAATTGATACTATATATTTGCTAACTGGATGGCAAACCTAAGAGACGAGAGGACTTCATACTATTATATATTTGCTAACTGGATGGCAAACATAAGAGACGAGAGGATTTAATACTCTATTTGCTAAATGGATGGCAAACATATGAGACGAGAGGACTTGATACTATATTCGCTAATATATTAAGTATAGACTTAATACTATATTTACTAACTAGATAATCAGACAAGAGGACGTTATGCTATATTTCCTAACTGGATAATTAGATGAGAGGAAATTATACAATATTTGCTTACTGTATAGTTAAAAATGATAGGACTTGATGCGCTATTTGCTAAATGTATAGTTAGATGAAAGGATATTTTCAAATGCCCGGCTTGTTGAACCTCGATATATGTTCACACGGGTAATGAAAGTACTTCTTAGGACATGGCCAAATATTTTACTCTTCCTAAGCAATACGAGTTATCTCCCCGAAGTAGTCAAAACACTTAAGCCAATAGTTTTTTATTATCGTTTTTATTATTAATTAATATTACTTTTAATATTTTTGTTTGTTATAGTAGGCATGTTTTACGCCTGTTTCTTCTCTGTATTACTCTTACTTAAGAAAATTCGTTCGGTTTTCAATCTTGTTGGTGTTGGAAACAAACTTGAATAAGCATATATATATTACACGCAGTAAAATTTCTTCAAATCATAAACATGTTACTTTGTTGATGGAACTACTGAATATATACATTAGCCATTTCCGCAATATCCCAGTCTCTGTATACGTGCGATATTTTCCAACAAAATCACCAAATGAAGAAAATGAAGACACGTATAGTATATAGACAGACAAACAGACAGACAGACATTCTTTATTTCCTCTTTTACAAGAGATTAAAGTCAATCAATACATACATATATGTTTACATTTCAAATTACATAAAGATAGCGTTCATCAATAGAAAAAGGAAGAGAGTTACAATAATGTGTCAATCTCACTCACCATTCTTTCTAGATTAATTGACATATTGATCATCACACGATCTCCTAATAAGAAACTACATTGGTTTTCATCCTCTATATTTGTAAATGAAATATAGGAGGAAACTTCTAAAGCATTCACCACACCATCCATCATTACGTCACGCGTTTCAAACAATTTCGGACACTCAAGCAGAAAATGAAAAACAATATCAGCAGTAGATTTACCATAAAGTTTACATAATACAATATCGCGTTCAAATATAAATGAATATTCCATTAGCTCTATTAACTGCCACATGCATTTATGCGATTTTTGCTTGGCACTCAGTTCTAATATGGGGTTGATTCTCTGATAACTGTGTATGGCAGAATAACGAAGCAATTCCGCTTTTATAGATAGTGCATCTCTCCACTGTATATGATAGATATCTGTAATAAATCTTTTAATAAAACGTTTCCAGCATAATTTTGGAGGTACAAACATGTTGGTTAAAAAGTCAATTAAAAATGATTCTATATTTAACTTTTTCATGATGCTGAACACATCTGGAATAAATCCTATTTGTACAGCGGACACTTCGCCAAACATGAACTGACATAATCTAATAATAAACAAGGACTTCCATACAAACATTACATTTCCTAAACACAACTTATTCCAAAATAGCATTTTTTAAATTTCTACCTCCCTCCAGATGTTAAAAACTCCTAAACATTGTGAAGTTACAACAGTTGATGACGTTTTCGGTAGTCCAATACAACACCTTCAGACATATCTATTAATGAGTTCTAATTCTTCAACAGATTTATTGGTATAAACGTTCCAAAGTTCGCTTCCATATAGAATACATGGATAAACAACAGATTTTACTATATTAAAACTAGTTACAGGATTAAGTCCATTAGCGTAAATGCCTTTACCAATAAGAGAGTTTAAACTTGTCCTTCCTTTCACACAGGACTCTGTAATACCACTGTCTGATTTTAGGTTACATGTGAAGAATATCCCAGCATAAGTTTTCTGTGTAGTACGTGGAATAGCCACCTCTCCAAGAGAACAAGATATTTTACTACGTTGCTCTGATTACGATCGACGTGAGCGATCGAATATCATAAAAGAACTTTTAACAGATCTAGAGTTATACTTAAAGCGCCACATACATATGTAGCAGAGTAATAATATACAATGTCTAACTGTTTAGCGACGCGGATAAAAGTAACGTATCATCTGCTAACAATACACAGGGTATGTGTATATCTTTTACTTTTAACCTGAAATTCCGATTGTCTTGCTCAACAGCAAGGTCATCGATCATTACCAGAAAACACCATGCGGATAACACTCGACCTTGACCTACCCCCTGACCTATTGGGTACGTATTACTACGTTTACCATCAAAAAGCACCGATGACGTCACATTAGTAAATGAATCAAATAATAGTCTCCAAAACTTGCCATTTAAACATAAATTGTATAATGTGTACACAAGACCGTTTAACCACACACTATTGAATGCTTTTTGATTATCAAGAAAGGCAGGAACACTTTTGATTTTCTTTCTATATGATATGATTTAGATTCCTTTACGATGAATGCTGCCGTGATACTTCCACAGTGCTCCCTGAAACCTTTTTGAAACTTATGGGGAAACTGTATGACATTACACTGTTTTAAGATTCTAGAGAATAAAACCTTTTCCAGTAACTTTTGCAGGATCGGTGTAAACTGTTCAGAGACACTATTTGAAAATGAACTTGAATAATAATGCATGAGAGCACGGATTTAGATAACTAATCTAATTCCGTGATGAGAGTAAGTTAAAATGATAATTAATCGAACCTATTCACGAGTTTTGACGGTACCTTTTTCTCTCACAACGTTCAGACATTATATCAAGAAAACATGTATCTCGTGTGAATACGTTTTTCCAGGGACAGTATATTATACGTCCCTGGTTTAACACCATGAACTAGGCCTAGTTATAATTACTCGACGTCATAATTTGGAAGATTGACCAATGAAATTACGTCTTAGTTTTACCAGTTAGTGGTTTAATCTAATTCCGTGGTTTTACCAACTCCTGCATTTAGTACTCTTCTAACCTTTTTAAATTGTGTCGGCCATATCTATCATTATGTACACATAACAATACAGTAGTTATCAAATATTTAAAATACCAATAAGTGAATCCTCTCATAGGTTGGTTACCTTTAACTGTTGGTTATTAATTTACAACGATTACTCCCTCCAGTCTTATAGAAAATAACGATTTGTCCCTTCAAAGATCGGAAGTGCATATTGAGCATGCGCGGTTGTCAAGAAATACTGTCATGGCGGCAAACTCTTATCATTCGTCAGTGCTCGGTGTTCTATAATGTAAATAATGCGGAAGGGCTGACTGTCTTAAAGCATTGAACATGGTATTATTAACGCAATTATTTGGTTCACAAAACTCTTAATTATCGTTAATGATTTCATAACTGAAGTTCAAAATGGCTATGGAAAAAATGTACACCATCCGTGATACCCACACACGGTCCATCACTGCGATCGGCTACAATCCAGGTCGGAGAGAGATTCTTATAGGGTGTGAAGGTATGTACGCTCAACTCTTTGTTTGATTACAAACTTTAAAGTAAAGTAAAGTTCTTCCTGTGTGTAAATAATAATAACAGTGACACTAACATTTAGCAAAGAAACGACCAGCATTTATAGCCACTGTATGCATACTGATACTGTAAAAATACAGTAAAACTTTATTCTTAACACAACTAAATATAGAAATGAGGATCAAATAGCTTGTCATCTGGCATATGTTGGACTTTCCAAGCTGCATAACACATGTACAAGGCATGTCACATATCTTCATCCTTCGGTCTAGATCTATACATAAGATGCAAACCGAATGCAAATTGCACATGTAGAACAGTGTTTGGACTGTAGGGTGTGAATCGCCCTCGAAGATACCACTATTTACAACCCAGGTTCGGGTATCCCCTTGCCAAGCATGCACCAGATGCTTCAACAAGGGTTGTTCGCAGGAGCCACTGCAACTAGCCCAAGTTTCCCCTGGCCCTGACACCAGACTTTAGCCATTTTGACAGATGTATGGTTTAAATATTCATCTGTTCATGTCTATCAAAATATATATGTTAACTGGGTCTCAGTTATTTCAAAGATATTACCCAAGAGCTATAAGTCCCCAGGGCAAAGTGCGACCCTGGTGCCAATCTTTGTACCATGGACTTGTTCATCTCTTTATGCCTTAGAACTATGTCCAGTGATAAATCTACAGATGAGTTCTGAATTGTTGATGTGGCATCGATGAAGGCTAGTTCAAGCTTGTGGTGATGCATCATTGTTATTTCATTCACTCGCGAATTACTTTTCCGGTTGTGCACTTATTATTTCATTAATCATAGTAGTGTAGCAATGTTGATAGTAATAATGTGATTTAAATTTTTAAAAACAGTTCCACTCATTTGTTCCTATACGTGTAGATAAAAAGTTTACAGCTCCGTTGTAAAGTTTGCATAAAAACTCAATCCTTATATGTTTTTAGTTGAGTCACTTGATGTTAAGTATGGTATTGGAATGGTAGATCCAATCTTAATACCAAAATGAAGGGTTAAATTTCCTCGGGTGATTTCTCCAGCACTTGTTTAGTCTTTCCTTGAAGCAGTTTAGGCTCGGTGCTGTGACCACTTCCTCAGGCAAGGAGTTCCATGGTTTAATAGTGCGATTGCTGAAGAGGTTTCCTGTGATCTGCTTTTTGTAAGGCCTTTTTAACAGGATTCTGTACACTTTGACCATGTCTGCTCTCTCCCTCCTGTATTCCAGGGTTGGTAGACCGAGTATTCTTAAGCGTTCAGCATATGATTTGTCAGTTTATGTTGTTACTCTTTTCATTGCTCTTCGCTGGACTATTTCAGTTGTAATTTTGTCCTTGGTATATAGGGGTGACCATATTGTTGAAGCGTATTCGAGGTGGGGCCGTATAAGAGCTTTGTAGATTGTTACAAATATGGTTGAGCTCATATATATGTAAAACTTCTAAATACTATTCCTGCAATTTGATTTGCTTTACTAGCTGCTTTTTGGAAGTGTATGGAAAAATTTATTTTTTGAACTCCCAGATCTTTTTCACTATTTACCTTAGTGATTTCGATGGTGTCTCCATATTGCGTCAGCGTGAAGTTGGACGACTTGTTATTTTGTCCAATTTCTATATGCTTGCATTTGTTCTGAGTCCTGTATTTTCAATGAATTTTGATGGGACTCAATGATTTTCTGGAAATAATTGAATTTAACATTGTGGGGCCCATTGTTTTTAGCAATACAGTTGAAAAGGACCCATGCAAATAAGTGTACTCTGTATGTGTATATAATGTTGCGCAACTCGACCTGGGTTGTTGGTGAGAGTTTTGCCAATAGTTCCCATCAAATGCACCATGTCAGCAGTCATGACAGAGATGTCAATGTCAGCAGTCATGACAGAGATGTCAACGTCAGCAGAGGTGTTCACTTCGGTAATATTTTTCCTGATTGAGCTGATTTTATTCAGAAAGTAATCACTGAACTTGCTTGCTAAGTCTTTTTCAGAATTACAGCTTGGTAGGATAATTTATATCCATATCATAAGCCCACTCGGCCCTTCACACCAGATGAGCTAAACATCAATTAAGTTTTGGTGAGCAATTAATGAAACAAATGTCAAACTTAATAAATGTACAGTGTATTGCCACATTTCTTTAACTCAGTCAGATGCACCAAAAATTCATTAATTTGTTCAATACTGATCATGAATTAAATGCGAGAAATAGCCTTGTGGAAACAAATAGTTTAATTGATAAATTTGCTGTTACCTATGATACAAAACATCTGTACCTTCAATGAATGTTTCATAAAGTTAAAAAAATAAATGATAATATTTCCTTTTTGTCACTCAATACTGTACATACCAGTATATTAATACACATTTCAAATATAAAGTGTTGCCTAAATCCGTATAAAGGCTAACTCTATGTGCTTTTTTGCATTAGATAAAAAGGCCCAGCACTTTTGCTGAACTTTCTATTATTTATGAAAATAATCATTGGATTACGTAAAGAAAATTAAGACTGGCTATGGGTTTTTTTTCAACCAATTAAATCATTTCATTCACAGATGTAGTCAAAATTTAATAGGCTATGATATATGATATTTTCGCACTCAGAGCAGAAAAGTGTAGTTTGATCGTTGTCAAATTGGTGGTATCATGTCAAACCAGTTCTGTGTGTGAGAGGACAGTTTTTAAATATCCTATGTTGAGCCTGGATAACTTGCATATGTGTACAGGTAATTCTGTAATTGAAGTAGAGATTAGTACATTGTACTAGTATTGATAAATATGTCCTTGGTACTGTGTAATATGGTTGTTGACCTTTCAATAGTTCACCGTACCGTAAGTCCATTTCTATTAATGCAAGCATTTATTGTGTTATTCCAATTTAAAATTTTAGTATTTTTTTCTCTGCATATTGTATGATATTAAAGTATCAGTTTTTTATTGAGTTGAATGAATGTTGTAGAGAGAAATATTAACTTCACCAGTATAAAGACACTTAGAATTATGCGCCTGATATAGTGAAACCTTAAGTTAACAGCTATTATTTCATGTTCCACCTCCTTTTAACAACATTACATATTTCTAAGTCACTTTTTTTCTTAACAATTATTTTGTTATAATCCCTTGATATATTGCCAGATCAAGTTATACTGCCAAGATCTCGTTTTACTGCGAATGTACTGTAGGTACAAAGTTACAGTAATGTAACACAATACAAGATTCTTAAAACAAGCAATCACTTCTAAGGGTATCCCATATCTTTTGGAATTTTTATGAAAAAGATCCAATAAAGATGAAATAAACACTCAACAATTGTGTTCTGAGAGTAAAAATACAAGGGAAGCGACTCCGACCAGGCAGGGATTTGAACCCTTGACCTTCCAACACATTAAAGTCACACTAACCAACTGGGTTAACTGGGCTCTATAACAGTCCTACCACACAGTGCTTGTTCTACCTAAATGATTTGGGAAAACATAGCATTGTTTCCATTGAAATTGGGTTGCTATTCCTCACATCTTCTTCATTTCGGGAAAATAAAGCTCTTATTTTTGCAGCCTGTATTCAGATGTAAAACTAGTCAGAAGATAAATCACTGTATGTATGGAATACTATAGTAGATTTCTCTTGTGTTGTGCCTGCACTGGAACAGGGATCCTAAAGGTATAGAAGTTTCAAATAATTATTTATTACACTGAAATATTTCAATAGATTATTGAGTCCACTTTTATAGCAATGTTAATTGATTATTGAATCCACTTTTATAGATTTTTTATTGATTATAAAGAGTCCGCTTATAAAGAATATTATAATTGATCATTAAGTAGACTTATTAGTTTGATTGTTGATTGTTGAAGTTTAAAAGTTTAAACAGGTTATCGAGTACTGTTGTGTGTTGATATAGGTACTATTTGTTCTGGCTCCAGGTTTTCTGATGTTTACCTGTCCTTGCTGTGTTCAAGAGTGAAACACAAAACCTATTGTTAAATGCCTTCTGACCGAATCAATATTTTAACAACTTACTTTCATGTGTGTAATGTGTATATAAGTGTAAATATGGTATTATAAGAACGCTATCCTCAGCCAAGAACCAGATCAATGTGAAAATGGAAGGGCTTTTGCTTCAAATGAGATTTATTTATGAGGCTGGTTATATCTGTTCTATTGTTGGTTGTGAGTGATTACTGGTGATAAATAGGTATAAAGATGGCGTGAGATATCAGATAAAAGGCCTCTTATATTTAGTTTATTCTGTATGTGTTGATATCACGGGTGTCTGGTTTATGGTTTACACACTGCATATAAATCAGAGATTATGTATTAATATAACATATTTGCTTACTTCTGCTCCAGTGCACAGTAATCTAGCAACAGTTAAAGCTCACGGTTAATACCTCACTGATAAAATCAGCTAACGTTAGTACGGCTCACAAAAGTAAGATTTCAGATGTGTATAGATCTGTGAGTTTTCAATCAAAGTAAAAAATCTACTATACTAATAATCTGACTAAAAAGAATCACAAAGGTTAGATTCTTTCTCTAAAAAGACTGCTTACACTGATACCACTGTGGTTAGCTGCTGTTACACTGGCAGGTGTCAAAACATGGATGCTGCTGTTACTGTTTAGAATATGCTGTGCTGTGTGTGTAATGTTAACACTTCACATTAATGTATAAAAAAAATCAAAAAAGTGTTAACACCATATATATATATATATCATAAAAAGAAAAACTCTCAACAACGAGCCTTTAGTACTTTCATCTCTTCTAGGAGATTCTTCAGACTGTTTATTTAAAGTATATGTTGTGACGTCATAGCAATATAAATACATTAATTATAGTCTTAAGGCAGAGAGTACTATTTGTTTAGGATTTAGATATACTAGTAATACTATTATTTTCAAAAAACAAAATAATATTAAAACAATATATATAAAATTAAAATAAAAAACACTCCCTGTGTGGGGCGAACTCAGGACCATCACATTACTGATCCGACACACTACCAATGTCACTACTTTACAAACATAACTCTTAAATAGACAACAATAAAAATGATAAAACATGTTGATCGAAACTCGGCGTGTATTCACATCCTCTCATATACAGAGGTACTCTCTACCTTAAACGTAACATGAAGTTAGAACATTATAAAATATTGGTCAAACAGTACTGTTCAAGTAGGATCTAAGAAGTCTGATGAATTCAGATTCCTTAGCCTAACGTTTGATTACGTTTGCGTTGTTCATTTGATAAATAGGAAATATTTTAAATTTGTCATCAGCGCAAGCATGTATGTGTTTACTAACTGGTAAAGATCTTAAGCTGTCTGTTCGTATTTGCTGTCTATGTACAGTCATCCTTGTTCGTAGCTCACCGCCCGTAATATATATATATAATATTAATATATGTAACTTTATTATCCCTGCAATATTGTGTATATGTCTGAAAAGAATCTTGAACTGATACCCATAACTGTTGAGAGGAAAAAAGATAAGTTTAAGTACTTGACATGATATTCCCATTTTACTGTCAGTGGTTGATATTATAGACACAGAATGGGTAAAGGGGAGAAAGGGGAGGGGGGATCGATTGATCACATGGAAGATTTATTTTTTCGAAGTCTTTGCCTCCAAACACAACACTATTTACAACCCAGGTTGAAGTATTCTCTTGCGAAGTGTATACCCTGTGCTTGAAACAAAGTTTCACCAAAGGCACCACTGTAGTACAGGAGACGAAAAAAATGCACAGGCAGACCAGGATTCAAACCCAGGACCTCCAAACTCTAGACAGATGCTCTACCATTTGAGTTTTCAGGTTGCTGGCACTCAACGCAGTCCAGTTCTGCTCTATGTAATTATATGGGTATGACTGGGAGTCCAGTTCTGCTCTATGTAATTATATGTGTTTGACTTTGAGTCCAGTTCTGCTCTATGTAATTATATGTGAATGACTTGGTGTCCAGTTCTGCTCTATGTAATTATATGGGTATGACTGGGAGTCCAGTTCTGCTCTATGTAATTATATGCGTATGCCTTTGAGTCCACGCAATCCAGTTCTGCTCTATGTAATTATATGTGTAGGACTGGGAGGCCAGCTCTGCTCTATGTAATTATATGTGTATGACTCGGAGTCCAGTTCTGCTCTATGTAATTATATGGGTATGACTGGGAGTCCAGTTCTGCTCTATGTAATTATATGCGTATGCCTTTGAGTCCACGCAATCCAGTTCTGCTCTATGTAATTATATGTGTAGGACTGGGAGGCCAGCTCTGCTCTATGTAATTATATGTGTATGACTTGGAGTCCAGTTCTGCTCTATGGAATTATATGTGTATGACTTGGAGTCCAGTTCTGCTCTATGGAATTATATGTGTATGACTTGGAGTCCAGCTCTGCTCTATGTAATTATATGTGTATGACTCGGAGGCCAGTTCTGCTCTATGTAATTATATGTGAATGACTTGGTGTCCAGTTCTGCTCTATGTAATTATATGGGTATGACTGGGAGTCCAGTTCTGCTCTATGTAATTATATGGGTATGACTGGGAGTCCAGTTCTGCTCTATGTAATTATATGTGTATGACTCGGAGTCCAGTTCTGCTCTATGTAATTATATGCGTATGCCTTTGAGTCCACGCAATCCAGTTCTGCTCTATGTAATTATATGGGTATGACTGGGAGTCCAGTTCTGCTCTATGTAATTATATGGGTATGACTGGGAGTCCAGTTCTGCTCTATGTAATTATATGGGTATGACTGGGAGTCCAGTTCTGCTCTATGTAATTATATGCGTATGCCTTTGAGTCCACGCAATCCAGTTCTGCTCTATGTAATTATATGGGTATGACTGGGAGTCCAGTTCTGCTCTATGTAATTATATGTGTATGACTGAGTCCAGTTCTGCTCTATGTAATTATATGCGTATGCCTTTGAGTCCACGCAATCCAGTTCTGCTCTATGTAATTATATGTGAATGACTTTGAGTCCACGCAGTCCAGTTCTGCTCTATGAAATTATATGCGTATGACTTTGAGTCCAGTTCTGCTCTATGTAATTATATGTGTAGGACTGGGAGGCCAGCTCTGCTCTATGTAATTATATGTGTATGACTGGGAGTCCAGTTCTGCTCTATGTAATTATATGGGTATGACTGGGAGTCCAGTTCTGCTCTATGTAATTATATGCGTATGCCTTTGAGTCCACGCAATCCAGTTCTGCTCTATGTAATTATATGTGTATGACTTTGAGTCCACGCTGTTGTGATGTAAATATAAAATTATACAAAACCAAAATAGATTTAAGTGGCAGTGTGATATTTCAGACATCCAATTATTCATAGGTGTTTGTATTAAGTTCAAAGTTAATGCTCCTCATATTGGTCCTAATTGAGAAGGTTGATATTGTTGTGAGTCAGTCAGTCTTCCGGTCTACAGCATCACAATTAGTCCACGGCCATTGTATTGCCTCAGAATGCAGTGACCGATATACAGGCACCTCTTATATTTCTTATACCAGTAACAATTTTCAAGCTTGATGAAATTTGTAAAATATGAAAAAATATCAAATTAATTTCAATGTAAGTTAGAAATTTTATAAACAGTTGTATTGAAGTATATTATGACTGCTGGTACATATCAAAAGTTACCAAGAGAATCCTGACAGTTTGTGAAGCCTGGTGCATGTCATCAACTGTCTTGTTACGTAGTGTGAGGGGCTAATTGGCTGTAAGATTAACATATTAAATTCCTAGGAAACAGAGGTTGAGGATCTGTTAGGAACTATAATCTGTATAATATAAGGTATAATAAGTACTTTAATTGTGTAGACATCAATGTTGTGGATTGTAAATCTATTCACAATTATACATTGATACCTTTAAATGCTAAATCACACAATAAACAAAATATTTACTTTTGAATAGGTTACAACATATCTATAGCTGTAAAACAGATAACATAATTAAATGCAATGGAGTAGTAGATATATACTAATGATTTGGGCGTCGGCCAAACTTGGCTTTCTGCACGGCACGGTATGACATTGTCCTGTGTGCTTGTACTATGAAGATAATGTATTGAAGGTGGGTATTTTTAGTCTGTATTGGTATATGGACCTACAATCAGGCTTGTGGCCTGTTAAATGTTATCTGATGTACTCACGTTAGGAAGACACTTGATCCCATTTATGACCGATATTAATTACTAGTTTGTTACTGACAAAGGTACCCAGTACTCTGACATAAAGGTAGTTTATGGCAGAAGGCAATTTGACACATTTACCAAATCACATATTTTAAGTAAACTAAAGCAGATGATGGACTCGTTATTTGATTGATATTTGTTTCATTTTTTACCCTCACTTTGACAAAATCAGGGTATGTAGTTTTTGCTTTGTCCATTTATATATCCGAAGTAATAAAATGCTGTTTCACAAATGGACATCAAACTTGATATATAGGTACATCATGGAAAGACCTTTGACCTTGACTTCAAATTCTAAAAGTAGTGTATAATAAGGTTCCTGAAGTACATCTCAGCCACTGATTCATGAATGTGATTCAAACTTTGTTGATATGCGAGTAAAAATCTAGATTATATTGAATTTTACATGCATTTATATATACTGAGATAAAAAAGGTGTACATACCGCAAGCATGGTCTCCATTTAAATTAGTAAACCTGTCAGTTTTGTCCTGAATTATTTGGCTATCAAATAAAAGTGAGGAAAAAAAGTTCAATGATGTAATTTTAGATATTTTAATTATTTTGCATTCAGAATAGTTTGTATTTTTGTAGATATATGTGAATGTTAGTCAAGCCGACCAAATGTGTCTTTTTCTCCATACTGACACATTCTTTTACTTACTAATGATCTTGCTTGTTATTTTACCTGGTGGCTGTTTTTTTGGGTTATTTGGCACCAAAGAGGTGGGAAGAATAAAGGTCAGGGTTATACTAAGTTATTTTGATCTGTAAAAAATCAGTGGAATGTTTATGTTCATCCTGCCATATTCACGAACATTTTGGGACCATCTTTGTTAGCCATTTCTAGTTTCATTGGATAAATGATTACTTGATTTCTATATAATGTTCTATTTTTCACAGATGGTGTAATAAAGACATATGAGGCTGAGGGAGGAAAGCTGGTGATGGTCATCACAGAACACAAGGGCTGGGTCACAGACTTCCTGTATTGGTCAGTATATCCTACTCACTTTACACATGTTTGGTTTTTAGCTCACCTGGTCCGAAGGACCATGGTGAGCTTATGCCATACCGCAGCGTCCGTCGTCCGTCCGTCAACTTTTCCTATAAAATGCTACTAGTCATGAACGACTGAGCAGATTTTAACCAAATTTGGTCAGAAGCATCCTTGGGGGAAGGGAAACAAATTTTGTATAAATTGTGTGTCTGGCCCCCCTGGGGGCTGAGGGTCAGGGCCCAATAGGGGTAATATAGCAAATTCTTTAAAATCCTTCTTATTCTGTAGGAATGAAAGGATTTAATCCATATTTGGTCTGAAGCCTCCTTGGGTGAAGGGGAACCAATTTTGTTTAAACCGTGGGTCTGGCCCCCCAGGGGCCTGAGGGGTTGGGCCCAATAGGGGAAACATAGCAAATTATTCTTCAAAATCCTTATTCTTCTGNTATATGCAGGAAAACACAGTTTGTATTGGCGTCTACCTTCTGACAGAAAGGCTGGAGATTAGAATCACTCCGTCAGTAACTGTTGTTCTTGTGTTCTTGTGACATCTACCCTACTGTACAAATGGGAACCAGCATGCTTAGAAGTTATCCTACAATGATACTCCAACAATGTTAGAGGTTTTACACGGTGAAAAACTTTTGACAGGCGCCGCGTCGCAGTCGGCAAAATCATTTCCGATTGAAAAAAAGGCCGACCAGCTGCCTCTCATGTTATGGGAGTACCTACAATGACTGGTGTACTATCTTGATGTTTTTACTTTGAAACATGATTTGGAATTGGTTAATTAATCAGTCTTACGACCTGTNCAAAATCCTTATTCTTCTGTAGGAATGAAAGGATTTGGTCCATAATTGGTCAGAAGCATTCTTGGGTGAAGGGGAACCAACTTTGTATAAACCGTGGGTGTGGGCCCCTCTGGCGGCTGATGGGCAGGACCCAATAGGGGAATATCACAAATTCTTTAAAATCCTTCTTCTTCTGTAGGAATGAAAGGATTTGTTCCATATTTGGTCTGAAGCATCCTTGGATGAAGGGGAACCAATTTTGTATAAACCATGGGTCTGGCCCCAGGGGCCTGAAGGGAGGGGCCCAATAGGGGAAACATAGCAAATTATTCTTTAAAATCCTTCTTCTTCTGTAGGAATGAAAGGATTTGGTCCATATTTGGTGTG